TGATGCGTTTTTAAGTGAATGTCATGAGTGATTTTTTTATTTGATTGGTATTTTTGAATGATATTATTGATTTATTAAATTGATTTTTATTTTTGAATGATATTATTGATTTATTGAGTTGATAGGTAATTTTGAATGATATTATTGATTTATTGAGTTGATTGGTATTTTTTAATGACATTATTGATTTATTGAGTTGATTGATATTTTTGAATGATATTATTGATTTATTAAATTAATTTTTATTTTTGAATGATATTATTGATATATTGAGTTGATTGGTATTTTTGAATAATATTATTGATTTACTGAGTTGACTGATATTTTTGAATGATATTATTGATTTATTGAGTTGATTGGTATTTTTGAATGACATTATTGATTTATTGAGTTGATTGGTAATTTTGAATGATATTTTTGATTTATTGAGTTGACTGATATTTTTGATTTATTGAGTTCATTAATATTTTTGAATGTCATTATTGATTTATTGAGTTGACTGATATTTTTGAATGATATTATTGATTTATTGAGTTGATTGGCATTATTGAATGATATTATTGATTTATTGAGTTAATTGATATATTTAAATGATATTATTGATTTATTGAATTGATTGGTATTTTTGAATGATATTATTGATTTATTGAGTTGATTAAAATTTTTGAATGGCATTATTGATTTATTGAGTTGATTGGTATTTTTGAATGTCATTATTGATTTATTGAGTTGACTTATATTTTTGATTTATTGAGTTCATTAATATTTTTGAATGTCATTATTGATTTATTGAGTTGACTGATATTTTTGAATGATATTATTGATTTATTGAGTTGATTGGTATTTTTGAATGTCATTATTGATACATTGATATGTCTATTATTTTCGAACAGTATTATCAATTTTTTTAATTGAATATTATTTTTGAATAATATTCATACAACTCCAAATTCAATTTTCACCTCTCACTTTCTACCTAAACATTTAAATTAAATATCCCAATACGTAACTATAAAACGAACATTTTATTTCAAAAAGTGCGCCCATTTATATCAATCCATATAAAATATTCAATTTCCTTCTCCCTCAAAATTCAAGCCCCCGGAAGCGACACGATGATTAACCGCTCGAAGATCCGATCTTCGATGCAAATTCAATATACAATTACAAAGATAAATTCGCGCGAAATAATATACCGAATATATTACCGTGAAATTGCAAATCCATCAATCATTTCCGGAAATAGAAACAGCAGGCTGTTAAATAATTGGCCAGACAATGAGAGAGGAAGGAAAGGGTTGGTTTCGAGAGGCAGGTATCGATCGCGCGAACGAATCTAAATTGAAACAGCGAAAAAGTTGGATCGTGTTGTGTTATGAAGACGTTGGCGTCGGCACAGGTGCCGATACACGTGTGCACCGTTCGTATCGAGAGATCGATAACATTCCGCCGCCGCAGAGATATCAAAAGCTCGTCGAACGCGGCGCGATATAAATCAGCCTCTGTGCTATGCACCTATTCGTTTCCGATAGGAAAACGCCTAACTACCAAACTTCCATTATTCCTTTGCTTGAATGCTGGAAAACATGTCGCGGAAGATTCACTGTTCGATTCGATAGACGATGCTTTGGAATGGTTTAATTATGCTTAAAATGTGTTTATACACTTTAAGTATTTATACAGTATTATATATTTATAGATGAAGTATATTTACGTATAGATATTTATACTTAACATTAGTATGGATTTTAAATATATTTATGCTTTATTTATAGTAACTCATGGTTAATATTAATTGTAGGATTATTTGCAAGTTTAGAGAAATCTATTTTTCAACTCTTCGCGGTATCGTTTATGGCGGCAAATTCAAATATTTATACTTGATGCTAGGTCACTGTTAATATTAATTCTTTTTCACATGATTATTTACAACTTTTTTATAATGTATTTCGAATTCTTTACCGATAGTTTATCGATTATTGATGGAATAGATTGATGCAACTGTATGGCGGGAAAATTCAAATGTTTGATACTAACTCCTAGAAAATATCAACTCTCTGTTACATAAATTCTTCCAATTTTAAAAGACATATTATTCAACTCTCACAAAGAATAATTCCAAAATAATAACAATACTTTCTACTCATAAAATTTTACGCTATATAATCCCACAAATTTACAAAGACTCAAATAAACGCAGCTAAGACTCTCAACTAAAAAAAACCGAAAATTACCCTGCATAATTAAAAAAAAAAATTTGCAATTCTTCCCCAAAATACAAGAACTACTCTCTGACAAATCTACAAGAGGCAAAGACCACCAAATATAAGTCTATCAGATATAAGTCTACCAAATATAAAAATTCAAAAACCACAAAGTCCTAAAATCTCAAAAGAACAAAAAATCCCGAAGACAAAAAGAAACCATACTTCTCCGCTTCTGGAAATAGTTGAATCGAAGAATTCTCGATAGAGAAAGTTTGACAGAGTGTTTCACCGGAAGTGCGCTCGCGAGCGTCGCTGAAAAATGGATCGCGCGGCGAACTTTCGATGCGAGTAAAAGAAGCGTGCTGGCTCGTATGTCGGATAAACGTCCACGGATAAATAGCAAAGGAATCTAAGAAGAATTTAAAGAAGCGAGATATCGCAATTCGGCCGAGAAATGCAACAAGGCTCGCCTGATTACCGTACAGGCTGAGACATTTTAAACATGGCGGTGCAGAGCGCACACGCGCGCTCCATGGCGATCAATACCAGCTTGCTTAATGTCAGTTCTCAAACTTCCTGCAGCCCGATGGTAAGTGGCAAGAAATTTATTCCAAATAGACGACCGGCCTCGTTTTTCCCCCGCGAAACTTGCTCGGAACGGGAAAAACAAAGATATTATTTAACGCCGCCGCCAGAAGAGACCGGGGGGTAGTTTTATGGAGGGATTTAAACAGCGATCACTTCCGGCTTGGATTACGGTTGGGAGCACATCTGGTTTCTTTAGGGAATATGCGGGAAGGAGGAAGGAGCTTTCACTCGGTGCTTTTTATGAGCTTTTGAAGATTCAGACTTTGGAGATTTGGAAATTTAAAGAGGATAACTTAAGAATTTGAGAAACTTAACAATTTGAGAATTGAAAAAATTGGAAGAGTTTGAGAATTTGAAGATGTAATTAGGAGATTTGAAATTAAGTTTGTAGTTAAGGATGCAGTTAAGTTTGAGGACTTTGTGGATGTTCCATGTTCCATATCGCATATTTCATGTCCCATGTCTCAAATCCCATATCTCTGATATCTCTCACATCCCCGAAATTTCAAGGTCAATAAAATCCTCAATCTCCAAAATCCTCAAATCTACAAAATCGCAAATCCCCGAAATTTCAAGGTCTCCAAAATCCTTAAATCCACAAAAACCCAAATCCCCAAATCCTAAAATCCCGAAATTTCAAATCACCAAATTCCAAATCCCCAAAATCCCAAATTCCCAAATTCCCAAAATCCCAAATCCCCAAAATTCTAAATCCCCAAAATCCCAAATTCCCAAATTCCCAAATTCCCAAATTCCCAAATTTCCAAAATCCCAAATTCTCAAAAATCCCAAATCCCCAAAAATCCCAAATTCTCAAAAATCCCAAATCCCCAAAATTTCCAGTCCCCAAAATCCCCAAATTCTTCAAAATCTGTGAAGCCTCCAAAGTCCCCCAAATCCCCAGAATCCCTAGAATCCACTGAATCCCTAAAATCCCCAAAATCCCTGAAATCTCCAAATCCTTAAATCCCCAAATTTCGAATTCCCAAAATCCCCAAAATCCTCAAATCCCCTAAATTCCCAAAATCTCCTCAACTCTCATAATCCATAAAATCCCAAAATCTCCAAAAACTCCCCAAATCTTCCTCTATCCCCGCGATTCATCGGAACATCTCATTCGCTATCAAATTAGCAAGAAATTTCGGCAGAGTACTGCACGATCAAAGGTTAAACCAACTGCAGGTGTTACCACGAACCAAGAAACTCGGTTTTTCGAGTGGTTGCAAACATCAGAGCCGTTTACTCGTGCATTACCACGTTTCTAGAATTAGAACCATGACGGATAAGTGGCGTGGCGAGTGCGCTCGGAAACGACGAGTGGCCGTCAAAGAGGAACACAGAAGAAGAACACGATGAAGGGTAACAAGAAAATACAAACAAAAGGTGGAAAAAAGAACAAGAAAATTCGTGTGGTAACCGGAAATGAAGTGTGCATTGAAGAAGGTAAATACTTGCTGTTCGTGACTGTGTTTGAAATTTTGGGCGGGAAAAAGGAGAATCATGAAATTTGAGGGAGGATAAGTTCGTATAATTTATGTTTAATAGATTATTAAATATGTGATAGATATGTAGTATCAAGGATTTTATTTTGTACTCTTTATATTACTATTTCATATTTTTTTGTTTTGTGAAGGTAATACAAGGGTATCTGTGTTTAAGCATTTTCACTTCATAGTTCTTCAAGAAAGATGTTTTAACAAAATACAAATTTTAGTTTTTACTTTGTTAATAATTTGAATTTATTTTTATTATGATTGCTGTTAAGAAGAAACTTGTAATGTTCCTTAAAAATAACATTCATTATCAAGACTACTTTAAATATTTTAGTTTCATGAAATTTGAATAAACTTACACAATAACTGAATCTCAATCACTTGCAACATTTTAATATATATTTTTTATTATTTTTATTTTCATTATTTTTACTGTGTAATCCAATAATAATTTTCAATTTTAATGCATAAATTATGTATGCAATCATTCAATGTACACATTTGAATTAGTCATAATTCAAATTCCCCGCCAAAATGAGACGTCGCAACCAACATGGCGACTTATTCAAGTAAGAACATTGTTTTAACGTGGATTACCTTGTACAGAGAGGGTACTTTAGTACATATTGTATAAAGATCAATGCTCGAAACGCAGAACCAACAAAACGATTCCATACAAGAACAGAGAACAAAAGAGGCTCAAGTTACTTACCCTGGTTGCACCTTTGCCTCTGCCCCTGCCCCTCTCCCTGAACGCACCCTCGCCCGTCTGCAGATGGTACAGGTGCTGCAACACAATCGGTTCTTTTCAAAATATGCTCGTTGTGTACACAAACAATCGTACAATTTCTTAATCCCGTTAGCATCGAGTGTCCTCTTTCACTCATTTTTAATATCTTCTACTTTCACAAGATACTGAGGTACTCTAAGTTCAAGTGTAATAGCTTTTATTGACATTTTTAATACACTTTGTTTTAATGTTTAAGTCCAATGGTTGACTTAATGGTTGACTTAATGGTTGACTTAATTATGGTTGACTTAATGGTTGACTTAATGTTTAAGACAAATTATAATTTGAAATGTCAAGGATCACTGAATATATCATTGACGTTTTAACTTTCTTTACTCGTTTTAATATTGTAACAGTGAATGTTGACTGATGCATCTGAGTGGGTGACACGACAAGGGGTTAATTTTAATGTCTTCTCGGTGAAATATCGAGCAAGGTACTTGCAAGTTTTATATCGTGAATGCTTTTAGTTACGCGAAATTAATGTTAGAAATTTGTGTTTACTGCGGAAGTTTGTAAAGTTCAGGAATTCGAGAGCTTCAAAACATTTCAACATCGAAGTGCTTGAAACTGGATTCTCTGAAACTTGCAACCAACTAAAATTTTTAAATCCAAATTCCATAATTCTGAATAAACCTCGAGGTATTAAAAATAGGACCCTCTTAAACTTGCAACCAACTAAAATTTTAAAATCTCAATCCTAAAATTTTGAATAAACCTCGAGATACAAAAAACTGCACCCTCTTAAACTTGCAACCAACTAAAATTTTAAAATCCCCATTCTAAAATTTTGAATAAATCTTGAGATACCAAAAACTGCATCCTCTTAAACTTGCAACTAAAATTATAAAATCCAAATCCTTGAATTTTGAATAAATCTTGAGATACCAAAAACTGAGCCCTCTTAAACTTGCAACTAAAATTAAAAAATCCAAATCCTTGAATTTTGAATAAACCTCGAGATACTAAAAACTGAACCCTTTTAAACTTGCAACCAACTAAAATTTAAAAATCGCAATCCTAAAATTTTGAATAAACCTCGAGATACAAAAAACTGCACCCTCTTAAACTTGCAACCAACTAAAATTTTAAAATCCCCATTCTAAAATTTTGAATAAATCTTGAGATACCAAAAACTGAACCCTCTTAAACTTGCAACTAAAATTTTAAAATCCCAATCCCAAAATTTTGAATAAACCTCGAGATACTAAAAACTGAACCCTTTTAAACTTGCAATCAACTAAAATTTTAAAATCCCAATCCCAAAATTTTGAATAAACCTCGAGATACTAAAAACTGCACCCTCTTAAACTTGCAACCAACTAAAATTTTAAAATCTCAATCCTAAAATTTTGAATAAACCTCGAGGTACCAAAAACTGAACCCTCTTAAACTTGCAACTAAAATTAAAAAATCCAAATCCTTGAATTTTGAATAAACCTCGAGATACTAAAAACTGCACCCTCTTAAACTTGCAACCAACTAAAATTTAAAAATCGCAATCCTAAAATTTGGAATAAACCTCGAGGTACCAAAAACTGACCCCTCTAAAACTTGCACCTAAAATAAAAAAATCCAAATCCTCAAATTTTGAATGAATCCTCAATGGACCTTTAACGCCATATTGCACCCAAATTCCCGTACTTCAAAATCGAGAACAAATGTAACTATAGTTACAACAGAGTTAAATTAAGTCCTAATACTGAAAGATCGTCGCCAGGCTTTCGAATGGTTATCGTTGCAACGATGAACGAACTATCGTAAAATCAAGGCAACCGTATCACCTCAATTGACCTCGTTAAGCCCAATAAACGTGCCAATAAAAGTATAACCTTTCAGGGCCAGCGGTATTAGATTAGATTCACCGCGACAAAACGTTTTAGATTATTCCCGGGCGAAAGATACCGCGAATAGCCCGCGGGGTCCTATACGCCCCGATCGTTCGATGGTAATTGACGCTCTCTCGCCTGCTCCGGGTTAATTAGAACAAGGAAATTGCCTGGTGTAATGACTATGAAAATTCGAGGCAGTTTATACGTAAGATAAGCAACTTCCGAACATATTTACTTTTGAAGGTTAAATATTATCAACATCGATAATTAATAATAATTAAAATTTATGTATTTTCGTATCTTTGTTTGGGTTATTTTTTGGGAGAGTGCTGTTGAATAATTATGATGGAAGATTTTATTATGGAAGATGGAAAGAGGAATTTTAGATTCGAAGGTTAATTGTAAATGATTGGAAGTAATTGTAATTTATTTTTCATGCTCGCAATTTTGAACTCGAGTGAAAATCAAACTGGGCTTAATAAGATAATGCTCGAAGTCTATATTTGTATGATGGGTCAATGCACCGATGTGGGGTCGAAGAGGTTAATTAATAATTCTCTTTAAAGACTTATCTTCACCGCCATAATTGTAATTATTTAGAATTGTTGCTCCACGATATTTACCTTTAATCACAAAGAAAATCTTGCAAATCAACGTAAAAATTTTGAAATATTCGAACTTTGGTTTCTCCATTTTGTGTTCGAGGGAAACCTCTCGTTTTCCCAATCGGTAATTGTACAGCATAGTTCATCAAATGTTTAACAATATAAAATTATAAAATATTGTTATTTTTTAGTAGAGTAGTAGTTTTTAGTAGAGATCCACGATGTCAAAATAGAAGGAATTTTTTTTTTTTTTTTTTGTGAAAAATAGATTGACTTGTCGACAGTCGCTTAGGGTAGAGATCTGCGTTACCAACGGGAAGAAAGAATTACTTCCGATTTACCTTGATAGATGGCGTCCGCAGTGAGTTTACTGAGTTCATATTTTTTTTACCGACGTGTGGCGGGAAACGAGATTGAAAATCAACGACAAACATTAGCTCATACTTTCATATTTTTAAGCTTGTATAAATAATTACGTACATTTAAACTTGTTTTTATAAACATGCGATAGCTTCTTCCATTTCTTCACTGTAAGCTTTCTACTTATCAGCTCTCTAAATTATCGGTGGAATAAATTTATGCTTCCACAGTTTTATTTTTTGATATATGCAATGTTATAAACATTTACGAGCTTTGTCTAATACCAAATAGAAATCTTCTATCACATTTTGTTCCCCTCAGGATTACCACTCATCGAGTGGTGTTTGCTTTCCAAACGAATTTCCTCGAATAAGAACAACAGAAGAAAGAAAAATACAATTCGAAATGTGTATTTGTGAAACGAGCGGAAACAAAAGAGAAAAAGGGGATCTAAAGTGTGTTTTTCCAGGGCCGCAGGATTAATACTACGAAGGAACAGAAAAATAATTACAGAACTCAAATAAACTATTACGGAATTCACTATTGGTTCAAAATAATATTATTATTAATAGCTTATTATACGGTGGACCATTTATATGAGATATGTGAAAATTTAATCTTCAGTGAATTAATTTTTTAGTTGTGGACTTTTCTGACAATAATATATCTGCAATATGTTTCGTTTCGTTATGAGGAATCTTATATTGATCTAATATTAATGTTTGTATTCCTTTCTTTAACTATATTATTGTACTCTGTTCTTGCTAAACTTGCAATTATATTTTACGTCAATTTTACACAGTTTCATAATGAGATAATGTTAATGTGTAAAATATCAGCAAGATTACAATCAGTACAGAACCAAGTTACACTCCAATATGGCGCCATTTTGAATTACATCGACATATCATTTCTGGCAGAAATACTTTTTTACCCTGTGCAAAAGAAGTTGTAAATAAATAACAAAAGAATCCCCTATCGCAAAGAAAAGAGAGACAGATAAGAATAAAGAGCAAGAAGAAGTACAAGTAGGTTAATATAGCAATTAACGGAGAGAGACAAAATTTTATAACAAATCTGATACAAAGAGGTATCCACACGAATCTCTCGAACATCCCCTATCGTAAAGAAAAGAGACAAAAATAAGAAAGAAGAAGAGTAAGACGAAGTAGCAGGTTAACATAGCAGTTAATACCTCAAGACAAAATTATATGACAAATATGATGCGAAGACACGTAACTAAACGAATCTCTCGAACATCCCCTATGATCTCGAAGATCGCAAAGAAAAGAGATAGAACTAAGAAAGAAAAGAAGAGTAAGAGGAAGTAGCAGGTTAGCATAGCAGTTAATACCTCAAGACAAAATTATATGACAAATATGATGCGAAGACACGTAACTAAACGAATCTCTCGAACATCCCCTATGATCTCGCAGATCGCAAAGAAAAGAGATAGAACTAAGAAAGAAGAGCAAGAGGAAGTAGTAGGTGGTAAGGAGCATAGAGAAGCGTAGAGATGACCGCGCGAGTGAACATCGAGGTCCGAGGCAGGCGGAAAACGTCCCCTTCGGCGCGGAGCGGAGCAGAGCGGAGCAGAGCGGCGCGTCGGCACACGCGTGGACGATTATGGTCTAATTCCCTTGTACGCGCATTCCCACCAACCTACCTAGCTTACCTACCAACCTACCTGGCTGACTCGCATGACAGAACCGTCTTCGTGAGCGAACGAGGAAAAGCGTAGTTGGTCGGTGCATTCGATAAGCGTACGCTCGAAAGATAGGGGTGTGTCCCCTTAATTCCATATCTCTCTCTCTCCGTTCTCTTTCACCCTCTCTTGCACTCTCTTCGCAACCCTCTATCGACACTTTTCTCCGCTTCTCTCTCGTTCGCCCTCTCTTTCGTCGCTTTCTTCTCTTTTACCCGCTCGCTTTTCCTCTTTCTCCTCCGTCAACAACCCCCGTTGCACCTTCGCAGCCCCTCTTGCGGCCCGTTCGACGTTGCTCTCGCGTAAATATCGCGGTTTCTCGGTAAACAGGAGAACCAGCAAAGGGTACGATACGCGTGCACGGTACACACAGGTGGCCGCTGCGTGCACGCACACGCGCCGATCCGCCGCGCGTACTTACGCGGACCGCGAGCGAGAGGGAAAGAGGAAAATGGCGAAAGAGAAGAGGGAGTAAAGGAAGCAAGGCAAATGTCA